GCACACTGACCAACACTCCAGCTACCTCTGTTTCAAGGTCAAAAAGGCGCCGTGGGTTATTTAGTATCCGCCACATTGAATAATGGCCATCTACTTTACTTCCTCCTTAGTCTCCTTTATGAAGCGTCCCTCCAGAGAATTAATCATGCCACCAAACCAAAAGGAAAATAACCATAATGTAGCATTTTGTTTATGTAAATGGGTATAAAAAAAAAAAAAAAAAAAAAAAACAAAAAAACACAAGTATAAGGCTAGGTTCACACCTATGCAGTTTGCTTTTAATCCGTTTCTGCAGTGTGTTTTAAATTTTTTTCCCAACTTGTTGATGGGCAGAATAAAAATGCAAAACACATCAAAAACACACTACATGATTTACTGCAGAATCTCCATTGAAGTCTATAGAGCCAAAAACGCAATGTTTTTGGTATAAAAATGTCCCTGGCCCTTTCCAAAACCGGGTGAAAAACACAGATGTGAACCTGTCCCATAGGAAATCATGTCAAATGGACTGTTGTGCATTTCTGAAAAACACAGCAGAAAACACTTAGGTGTGAACCTAGACAAACATTTGAACTCACATGGACTTGTCCCCAGGATTGGCACAGATGGAAACAGCCTATAATAAACCGCAATCCCCCTCGGGATCCACCGACCAGAAAGAAGCGGGCCGGACAGAACATCACCGGAACCATATGTGATGACTATTAGGGCCTTTGATTAGCTCCGCTGACCACGTCTTCAGGAAGCCAGGTGGAACTGTTAAAAGATTTGCCAATAGAAACACAGAATATTTTAACGCACAATGTTGTGTTGGACTTTAATCACAGCAGGGGCGGACTGACCATTTGGAAACTCAGGCACTGCCCGAGGGCCCGGGGTCAGTAGGGGACCCCATGAGATGCCCCTGGTACCTTTTTCATAGGCTTTTTTGAGTTTGGACAAGGACACAGGGGCCCCATGATCCCCTATTACCCAGGGCCCCCATGAGTTGTCAGTCTGCCCCTGATTCAGAGACCATTTATGAAAGACAGAGAGGTGCGAGAGAGAGAGAAAGACACTCACCTTCACAGCTCAGGACATACCCAGGATCGAGAGTCGAGCTGTGTAGACACCATCATGAAACCCACAGCATCTCTCAGAACCCAAAGAAAGATTCAGCCTGCTGGCTCTCTTTAGCAGCACCGCCGCTCAGGCTTTATACCTCGGTCTTCTTGACCATTCACATAAAAAACATTGTGCCTTGGTTAGCACTCTTCCACAACATTCCTGCTTCTCCAGCCCACAGGCTTGGGCCTTCTGTTTGCTCTGTCAGACTACCCCATGCACATGTCTGCTTCCATGGACTCCTTGGGAAGTTGGAGCCCAGAGCCCTGGTCCAGACCCTAGAAGAGACCCACACACCTGCACAATCAGTTTTCTGGCCATTCCCAAAACCTGGTCCCAGAATTGGAGATTTCCTCCCACCTAGATCACTGTGAAATCTCCAGGCTCCAGATCCCAAACAGAGTTTTACCAAGAACCTTAGTTTTACCTTAGTATCTATTTACTAAGACTAGCAGAATAAAGATTAAATAGTCAATGTTGACTGAGAGAATGAAGCTTCACTTCAACCACTTGCCTACCAGGCACTTATACTCCCTTCTTTACCAGGCCAATTTTCAGCTTTCAGCGCTGTCGCACTTTCATTGACAATTGCGCGGTCATGCAACATTGTACCCATATGAAATTTTTATCATTTTTTACTCACAAATAGAGCGTTCTTTTGGTGGTATTTAATCGCCGCTAGGCACTTTATTTTTTTGCGCTATAAACAAAAAAATGCAAAAAATTTGAAAAAGAAAAAAAAATTTCTTTGTTTCTATTATAAAAATTTTCAAACAGGTAATTTTTCTCCTTCACTGATGTGCGTTGATGAGGCAGCACTGATGGGCACTGATAGGCAGCACTGATGGGCACTGATAGGCGGCACTGATAGACAGCACTAATGTGGTGTCAAGGATGGGCGGCACTGATAGGTGGCACTGATAGACAGCACTGATAGGTGGTACTGACTCGCATCACTGCTGGGCACTGACTGACGGCACTGCTAGGCATTGACTGGCACAACTGCGGGGCACTGTCTGGCACAACCACCAACCACTGGGCACTGACTGGCAGCACTGCTGGGCTGCACTGATGGGCACTGGTGGGTGGCACTGGTGGGCACATGTGGGTGGGCACAGGTGGGTGGCACTGCTGGGCACAGGTAGGTGGCACTTCTGAGCACAGGTGTGTGGCACTGCTGGGTGGCACAGGTGGGCGCACTGCTAGGCACAGGTGGGTGCACTGCTGGGCACAGGTAGGTGGCACTGCTGGGCGGAACTGGTGGGCGGCGCTGCTGGGCACCGATCATCAGGGTACTGATCATCAATGCCCTGATGATCGGTGCTGATCCCTGCTCTGACAACTGCTGGTTCTCAGCAGTACTTTCCTCACGCTCTGACAGTGTGAGGAAAGTGCAGCCGAGAACCAGTAATTGCATTTCCCGGTGATCAGCGGTTTCCCGGTCTGGCACTGATGGGCACTGATAGGCGGCACTGATGGGCACTGATAGGCAGCACCGGGATCACCGGGAAATTGCATTTCCCGGTGATCAGTGGACACTGCTGATCATGTGGTAAAAGGCCGCTGTGATTGGCCTTTTACCACATCACGTGATCAGCTGTGTTTGTAGGACACAGCGATCATGGAGATCGCCAGGTGCGCGCCCCCGGGGCGCGCAGGAGAGCGCGTTCTGCGAGGAAGTCATATGACGCCCTCCCAGAACTGGCTGGCCGCAGTGTAGCCGTCATTCGGCTATCTGTGGTTGGCAAGTAGTTAAAAGTGGAACTAAACTCAATTAATCCACATTTACTATTTTTTATCCTTATGCTGCTAGCCTTAGTAAATAGATAGGATGGTATATTATAGTATATTATATTTTTTTAGCTTTTTCTTCTACATTTTTTTCAAGTTTCTTCCTGGTTTCTGGCCTAGACCAAAATTATGTCCTACATCCCTTGAGTCTTTATGGGAGGAGGGGCTTTCCCAGCTAAGCACACCCTCCTGCCTGCATGACTGAGCTAAGGGCAGACAGATTCCAGGAAGTAAATGCTACATGAATCCTCTGCCTTTACTCAAGATGGCTGTGGCTAGAAATAGGGGGGGTTTAAAGTGATATCTCAAGAAAATAAAGACATGGATGGATGGATGGATGGATGGGTGAGTTTGCTTTGAATAATAAAAATGTATTAAATAGCATTTGTGGTGTAGCTCTGCTTGAAGAACCAGTCCACACCAAAATGGTGCAGGAAAGGAGCATTTTGTGCCCATTTCCCATACTATAGGTAAGGTGCACTTGTGAGATGCATGCAGTTGCAAATTAACTGTTAATGGCACCCCAAACGCATCTCAAAAAACGTGGCATATTTGCGGCCACCAAATCTCATGGTACCACTGTAGTACATTTAGTGCAGCGTCGTTCTAAAAACGATTTGCTTGCACTGCCTTTTTCACTTTCCAGTACATTATGCAGTCCATTCAAATGAATAGATTGTCAAAACGGCGTCATGCAGGAACATGTGCGCTCTGGTGTGAACTAACCCCAAACAGGCAGTGTCACCTTGCCAGGCATGCATGCGCATGAAGTGTGTGGTCTGCTAGCTGGTTGCAGAGGAGCAAAACGCTGTAAGGAATCACAGGTAAGGTGACGCACACTAGGCATTTTAAAAACGCTGGTAGCGTTAGCTGTATAAAGTCGTGTTAAAAACGTGAATTTTTCTGCGTTTTTTTTTTGCATTAGCGTTTAGCCACATTACCCTTTTTTAACAGCTTTATAGCACAAAACAAAAAATTTGGGCTCAAAAAAACGCTGGTTTGCTGCATTTTATCGCATTTACCGGCGTTAGAGCGTTTTTACAGCTAAAAAACTCCTCTTGAAATTCACTAGTTCTGAGGTTTTTTTCCCAGCCAGGAAACGCCTCTGCAAAAAAATGCTGATTAAAGCCTCTGTGTGCATGGACATATAGGAGAACATGCTGGGAGTTTACTGGCTGTAGAGAAAGCCCAAATCGGCAGCTGTAAAAACACCCAGTGTGCATGAGGCCTAAGGGGTTTTCCAAAGGCCAGTGATGAGCCCAGATGTGTTGGGACTAGTATGCAAACCCATGTATGCAAGCCTGCCAGGAAACGGGCATTTGTATGGGCCAATCATCTGTCGCCAGACCATACATATACATGCCCCTTTGCAGGATAAATTATTGGCCTGTAAAGGTGACAGCTTCTTGGTGGGCACATGTGGGATCCTAGTCCGCAGATGCTTGAGCTGACCAAAGATGCAACAGTGTCTCTTTAACCACTTCCCGACCGCCCTATAGCAGAACTACTGCTACAGGGAGGCGGGGCTGCGCAAAATCATATATATATATTTACATGATTTTGTATTTCCGGGTAGGGGACATGTGCACCTCCCTACCCGCATTGGCATTAGTGGCTACAGCTGTTGATCACCGGGTCTCCCTAGACCCTGCATTCACTATATCTGGTCTCCCTAGACCCTGCATTCACTATATCCGGTCTCCCCGGACCCTGCATTCACTATATCCGGTCTCCCCAGACCGTGCATTCACTATATCCGGTCTCCCTAGACCCTGCATTCACTATATCTGGTCTCCCTAGACCCTGCATTCACTATATCCGGTCTCCCTGGACCCTGCATTCACTATATCCGGACTCCCTAGACCCTGCATTCACTATATCCGGTCTCCCTAGACCCTGCATTCACTATATCGGACTCCCTAGACCCTGCACTCAGTATATCTGGTCTCCCCGGACCCCGCATTCACTATATCCGCTCTCCCCAGACCCTACTTTCACTATATCCAGTCTCCCCGGACCCTGCATTCACTATATCCGCTCTCTCCGGACCCTGCATTCACTATATCTGGTCTCCCCGGACCCTGCATTCACTATATCTGGTCTCCCTGGACCCTGCATTCACTATATCTGGTCTCCCCGGACCCTGCATTCACTATATCCGCTCTCCCCGGAGCCTGCATTCACTATATCTGGTCTCCCTGGACCCTGCATTCACTATATCCGGTCTCCCCGGACCCTGCATTCACTATATCTGGTCTCCCCGGACCCTGCATTCACTATATCTGGTCTCCCCGGACCCTGCATTCACTATATCTGGTCTCCCCAGACTCTGCATTCACTATATCTGGTCTCCCCAGACTCTGCATTCACTATATCTGGTCTCTCCAGACCCTGCATTCACTATAGCTGGTCTCCCCGGACCCTACATTCACTATATCCGGTCTCCCCAGACCCTGCATTCACTATATCCGGTCTCCCTAGACCCTGCATTCACTATATCCGGTCTCCCTAGACCCTGCATTCACTATATCCGGTCTCCCTGGACCCTGCATTCACTATATCCGGTCTCCCTAGACCCTGCATTCACTGTATCCGGTCTCCCCGGACCCTGCACTCACTATATCTGGACTCCCCGGACCCTGCACTCACTATATCTGGACTCCCCAGACCCTGCATTCACCATATCCGGTCTCCCCAGACCCTGCATTCACTATATCCGGTCTCTCCGGACCCTGCACTCACTATATCTGGTCTCCCCGGACCCTGCATTCACTATATCCGGTCTCCCCGGACCCTACTTTCACTATATCCAGTCTCCCCGGACCCTGCATTCACTATATCCACTCTCTCCGGACCCTGCATTCACTATATCTGGTCTCCCCAGACCCTGCATTCACTATAGCTGGTCTCTCCCAGACCCTGCATTCACTATAGCTGGTCTCCCCGGACCCTGCACTCGCTATATCCGGTCTCCCTAAACCCTGCATTCACTATATCCGGTCTCCCCGGAGCCTGCATTCACTATATCTGGTCTCCCCTGGACCCTGCATTCACTATATCTGGTCTCCCCCGGACCCTGCATTCACTATATCCGGTCTCCCCCGGACCCTGCATTCACTATATCCGGTCTCCCCCGGACCCTGCATTCACTATATCTGGTCTCCCACAGTACACAGAACATGGAAATGCAATTATTTTAGTAAATCTAAACTGCTATTTACCTTTTCTCATCAGCAGTTAGAGCAGTCTTGTGACTTCTATCAGTCTCCAGCTGAGCACTGGTTAAAGCTTGTAGGAGGAGTTTTTTTCCTGCCCTAGGAGGATGCAGAACCCCTGACCTCTGTCTGGACAGTACTGAAAAAAAGGAAGCAGAACCTACATATGTAATGTACAAATGTGGCTTTCCCTATATACATATAAAACTACAGCTGTACATATTATATGATATTATATGTTCTAAAACATGGGTACTGAACTACAGGCCAGACAGTGGAGGAAAGAGCTTTACAATGACATTGATTTATAGTAGACGTGTATAATCTACTTACATCAACACTCTGTTTTAGTCATACCAGATTTATTCTTTAAAGCTGATCTCTGGGATAAGTAAATACGCTTTAACCCCTTGCCCTCCTGAGGATTTCCCCCCTTCCTGACCAGGCCATTTTTTGCAATACGGCGCTGTGCTACTTTAACTGACAATTGCGCGGACATGCAACACTGCACCCAAATTAAATTTCCGTCCTTTTTTCTTTTGGTGGTATTTGATCCCCTGTTTGTTTTTCATTTTATGCGCTATAAACAAAAAAGAAGACCGACAATTTTGAAAAAAAAAACAATATTTTTTACTTTTTGATAATAATACATGTCCAATAAAAAAATTTTAAAAATCAAATTTCGTCATAAATTTAGGCAAAATGTTTTCTGCCACGTTTTTTGTTGAAAAACATCCCAATACGTGTAAATTAATTGGTTTACGTGAAACTTATAGCGTCTGTAAATATATATGGTATATATGCTGGAATTTTTTTTTTTTTCAACACTAGTAATGGCTGCGATCAGCGACTTATAGCGGGACTACGGTGGGCATTCTGACACTGGGGGGGAACTGATTAACTGCCACTGACATCCCCAGTGACACTAATACAGTGATCAGTGCTAATACAAAGCACTGACACTGTACTATTGACACTGAGCAGGAAGGGGTTAACATCCGGGGTGATCAAAGGGTTAACTGTGTGCTGTGTGTGTTATACTAGTGAGAAATGCTGCTTTGTATTGCTCTGCTATGCTGACGGGAGAGATCCGTGTTGTTTACATACAGACCTCTCCCCTTTCACTGTTCCTCGGCAATCCCCAGGTGCTGGCGGGAAATCTCCGGCCGGGACCCGGTGATTGACAGCTGTAGCTGCCAATGGCGGGGCAGGTAGGGCGGCGTTAACGCCCCCTACCCAGAAATGCAAAATCCTGTATATATACATAATTTTGCACAGCCCTGCCGCCCTGTAGCAGTAGTTCTCCTATAGGGTGGTCAGGAAGTGGTCAAAGCTGATCTCTGGGATAAGTAAATACGGCTTAAATACAAGAATCACATATGTTCATACTTGAATCTGTGTGCTTTGTGTATTTCTTCCAGATCTGTGCAGCAATCCAGCGTGACACTTTCACTCTGTGCAGGAGCTTCCTGTAATAAAGACCGGTCAGTGTTGCTATCTCTCCTTGTACAGGGTGACTGGTCTTATCTCCGCCCACTGTCATGTTCTACAGGCAGCCTGTAGCGGGTGGAGCCTGTTGGGCCCCTCCCACAGCTCTGTTCTTTACAGGCTATGCACAGCACAATGATGATGTCAGTCCTACTTTTACAAAGTAATATCTGGGTTTGCAAAGGCATTTGGTGCTCACAAATGTGTATTATATGATTTTTGGCTACTGAGGAAAATATTTAAATAAGGTTTTTGTTCCCAGAGTTCTGCTTTAATCATCCTGTCCCTGTGTAAGGGAGGGGTGGTGGCCACTTGTACGTTTCATCCACACTTGTGTCTTTCGTATGTCCTAAATCTGATTGGCTGCAGGGAATCGCCTCGGAGGTTTATTTCAGTCACAGGAAACATTTTATCCCAGTGTGGTATTTTTCTTGGGAACACTCTTGGTACACTCTCAGACTGTGTGTGTATGGTTTTGGTGAGGCTGCATGTTTTGAATAGCTGATAGTCTATCAGCACCTCTGCTGCGGCATGTTAGGTACCATCAGGGGTGGACTGACAACTCATGGGGCCCCCGGGCAATAGGTGATCGTGGGGCCCCTGTGTCCTCGCCCACACTCAAACCACACCCAAAAAAAGCCTATGAAAGGTACCAGGGGCATCTCATGGGGCCCCCTACGGACCCTGGGCCCTTGAATGATGCTCGAATGGTCAGTCCGCCCCTGGGTACCATACAGGGGCAGATTCATAAGGACCATCTTTTTTAATTAGATTTTTAGATTATGCACAAAAGAGATTCTTTGAAATCAATATTAACCGTTTCAATACCGGGCAATTTTACACCTTCCTGCCCAGGCCATTTTTCAGGTTTCAGTGCTCTCACACTTTGAATGACAATTGCGCGGTCATACAACACTGTACCCAAACTAAAATTTTATAATTTTCTTCACACAACTAGAGCTTTCTTTTGGTGGTATTCAATCACCGCTGGGGTTTTTATTTTTTGCTAAATTAACAAAAAAAGACCAAAAATTTTGAAAAAAAACCCACGTTTTTCTTTGTTTTCTGTTATAAAAGTTTACAAATAAATAATTGTTCTTCATAAATTTAGGCCGAGATGTATTCTGCTACATGTCTTTGGTGAAAATAACCCAAATTAGGATGTATTATTTAGTTTGTAGGAAAGTTATAGAGTTCACAAACTATGGTATAGATCTGAATATTGATCAATCCTGAAGTACTGACAGCCAATCTAATTTCTTGAGGTCTAAGAATGTCAGAACAGTACAGATATCCCCCAAATGACCACTTTTTGCAGAGTAGACAGTCCGACGCACTTCATAAGAGGCATGGCGAGTTTTTTTAAGTTGTATTTTTTTTGTCATAATTTTTCGGAAAATGAAAAAATTAAAAAAAATATTTTCACTATTTTTTTTTTTACATACTGTCACCAGTGCAGTACAGCGTCATCCTATAACTGGCATGGCGGTGGACAGGGACACTGACTGGTGACAGTATGAAAAAAAAAAATATATATATTTTTTTTTAATTTTTTTATTTTTAATTTTTTATTACATTTTTTTTATTTTTTTTAAGATTTTTTTTTTTCATATTTTACTATGACCAAAGTAGTACAATGTTACCATAGTAAACATTGTACTACTTTGGGGAAGTGATCAGTATTTTTTTTTTTTTTACACAATTTGCTTATAGCAAAGAATTACTTTGCTATAAGCAAGCATTTACCTGAATGAAATCGATTCATTCAGCTTTTTTTTTTTTTTTGTGCTTAGCTGTGATTTGGTCACAGCTAATCACATGACATGTGCATGTGATTAGCTGTGACCATTCACAGCTAGGCACTAGTATACAATGAATGGCATGAATGAAGCCATCCATTGTATACAACTGTCATGTGACCTGCTGTGATTGGTCACAGCAGGTCACATGGCACCAGCAACGGGGCCGGTACTCAGATCTGTCATCGGCTGTGTCCGAGGTACGCGGCCGGTGACAGATCGCGCTGCTGCGCCGCTCTGCATTAGCGCAAACTGCGCATGTGCGGGAGCACGCCAAATGGCGTGCACCCGGAGTGCAGCAGCACTTTTGAAGCCGCCAAACGGCCATTGGCCGGGCGGCTAATGGTTAAACCCAAAAGCAATCATTTATTATATTGTTGCAGCTTACCAATTCTTAGATGTGTTTGCAGCATTAGTTTTTTTTTTTGGCCTTTCTTTACTTTATATTCATCCAGTGATCTGGCCAGTAAGTCTGTTGTTTTTCAAAAGAACAAGCTCTCCTGCAAATGTAACAGTTAAAGCAATATTAAATCTAAAATAAACATTTATTATATTGCAACTTACCAATTCTTAGATATGGTTGCTGTATTAGTTTTTTTTTTTTTTTGGCCTTTCTTTACTTCATTTTTATCCAGTGATCTGGCCAGTAAGTCTGTTGTGTTTCAAAAGAACAAGCTCTCCTGCAAATGTATCAGTTAAAGCAATATTAAACCCAAAAGAAACATTTATTATATTGCAGCTTACCAATTGTTAGATGTGGTTGCTGCATTTGAATAGAATGAATTTGAATATGAATAGAATACACTAGAATAAAATATTAAGTAATAGAATAGAAAATAAAAGAATAGAATAGAAAAGAATAGAATAGTTTACAAAACAATAAAAATTGTGAGTTGCACTATGGTGACGTGAGTAGTGATCAACAAAGACTGAAAAATAGATATTTCCAATATGTTCGCACAATTCTTCATATAGCCCATATACCATCAAAAACACATTTGGATTGTGGATTATGGATTGTAACGTTAGAATTATTATCGAATCCATAAAAATTATTTGTAGATTTGTTCGAAATTTAGAATTTGGTCAAATTCAAATAAATGAAACCAATTCGGAAAATGAACTAAATGAACTGAATGAATCAAATGAAACTAAATGAATCAAATAACAAATCGAAACTTTTTTTTTGTTTTACACATGTCTAGTCCAAAGGTGCCCCCTGTGCTCCTTCATCCAGAGTGGGGACACGGTAATACAGGAGGTGTGTTACAGGGCAGATCACCAGGTGAAAACAGAAGGGAAAAAGCATAAAAAAAGAAAACAAATGCAGCCACCATATCTAATGATTGGTATGGTGCTATATATTACATTTTGATTTTAGTATAACTCAATTTTATTGAGAAAAAAAAATCCGTTTTGGGTGATTGATGCCAACAGCAAGGATTTTACCACGTTTTACCCTTTTCTGCTCTGAAGAAACAGCTGTTCATTTTGCCATGTCCTTTGCAGACTGATTCTGAATGGGAGGGTCTGGATCAGTATAGTCACCTGGTGCACTCTCAGTGCTAGAAGGAGAAAAAACTGTGGGATCTGCATCCCTCTAGACCAGGGGTCTCCAAAATTTCTAGACATAGGGCCAGTTTACTGTCCTTCATACTCTAAGGGGG